ATTAGAGATATAACCCATTGTCCTATACAAGGGTACTTCAAAGACCTTGTGGAAAAATAGAATTAAAAGATAATACCAAGGGCCGAGCCCATGGCGCACTCGGGAGAGTGCGGCGCTGGGAGCGCTGTCGGATCCTATATAGGGATGGCCAGTGCGATGTGCTCACTGCCTGAGCGCGGTGCGGCTGGTCACAAAAATAAAGGACAAAAACAAAAAGATAATACCAATCTTTCCTTGAACTTTTTAATCTCCCCTCCTCTTGAATCTGATCCATGAACTTTTTGAAGTATTCTTGTATGTTGCAAATATTTCCCCCAGTTTGTTTCTTCTTTTAGATTTTCAGTGGTGCATCTGGTCCCATGGGAATGTCCTTGGGCTTGGGATTGTTTCTAGCTTTCCAATGACCTCACCTATTGCTGGGTGGGAAAGCCCTAGGGACCTAGAGCTATTGGTTTGGTGTGAGGCAGCCTTTTTGTTGTTGCTTGTTTTGTTTGCTTTTCCCTCTTTTTCTTACTCTTTCTTTTCTCCCAGCTGATGCTTTTTGGTCTTTCTCTTTCCTAGAAGGAGGACCTGATAAATTCTCTTTTATGATGGACCAGACTTGGCCCCTGCTTTTGGTTTTCTGATCAGCTCTCTGAGCCACTCACAAGTCTTTTTTCAGCTTCTACTGTTCCCTAAGCTTGGGGGGCATGTGCCTCCTGCTAGACCTTTATTATTTGCTGGATTTAATTCATTTTGCTCACTTTGGGGAGAGAAAGAGAGAAGAGACTCTGTCAACCTGTGTCTAGGCTGATTTCCTTCCCAGAAACCTAGCCTTTACTTTTTGTGTTTCTCCAGTAAATACATTCTACTTCTTGAATCCCCTGGAGGCCACTCTTGCTCAGGGGTACAGTTTAAAGTAGGTCAACAGCATGGGAGAGGCAACATGAGTGAAAATGTACGCTCAGACCTCTCACCCAAGAAAATTTCCAAAGGAGGTTTTGTGTCCTAGATGGTGTAGGGCCTTCAGGAGCATGTAACATTTACGCATTCTACCTATGTTTTTTCCACAGAATTAGTAGCCATTTATTTGCTTCAAATGTACTCCTAAAGTCTATCTAGGAGAGTACATGTGCTTCCTTCATAAAATATTCTCAGCTCTAATAATCACTGTCGTGTTAAAAAACATGTGATGCAGTGAACTCATAAGCATGCACTGGGTGATAGGCCAGCCTTTCCCATCCCCGCTGTTTCTCAAACTTTGTCTTCCTAATAATCACGTGGGAGCTGTTGAAACACAGTTTTCCTGATCCTGCCCCTGGATTCTGACTCAGTAGGTAAAGGTGGAGCACCAAATCTGCATTTTTAACAAGCACAGTGGTGGTTCTGATATCTGTGGTCCTTAGTGTCGGCTTTGAGAAATATCGTCTTACTCTGGGGCAAGGTATCTCAACCTCAGTACTATTGATATTTGGGGCTTGATAATT